ACCAATATTTTTCATTTAAGACTTGTTCAACCCGAGTCCGATTAGTGGCTAATTGTTCGTGTTGTTTTTTAGTTAAGTCTGAGGTTAGTACGTTCATTTTTAAAGAATTAATCTTATCATTTATTTATACGAATTAGCAAAGGGAAATTTGGCAAATGGGAAGTTTAAGTCCGTTGGTTATGGGAATTAAGTTTTTAGAAGATGACTAAAAAAATCTAAATTAAGATTGTCTTTTTTGATTTCTTTCCTTGCTAGTATAATTTACTCATCAAGGAATTTCCCGAGTGGGTTTCAATTTGGTAGCATCCACGTTTACTATCTTAGTGTCAAAGGTTAATTCATCTTCTCAAATTTCTTTCATTCTTTGTTTAATTTTGACAAAGTTTTCTTTTAAACAACCGGCTGAATGTAAAGGACAAATGTAAAAATACTGATAACTAGTTTTCTCCAAATCAAGGAGGGAAATACAAATCTTTCTTTTCAATACCGGATAAGAAATCTTATTCAGACATTCTGTTATTCTCGGCATTATTCTTATTTGACTTAGTTCTTTTCTTTGACTAGTCAATTTTATCAGCCACAAATTATCATTTTCTATTTCTAATGTTACATGTCTTCTCTCTTTGGCCGGTCTTTTGTTATCATCGATATAATCACCTTTGAAATGAGTAATAGTATCGGGGTTTATCGTTTTCTTAACCATAATGTTAATTTCCTTTTATCTCAGCTAAAGTGTCGTCAAAGAACTTGGTGTAGTAAGTGATTATTTTGGGGGTTAAAGGCATTAATCCCTCTTCTTGTTGACTACCTAATTTGAAAGCTGGATCTTCGTGAGAAAAATTTTTCAAGGTTTCGTTATCATTCTTATAACTATAAAAATAGTTAAATATCAAACTAACAAAATCTTGGGTTTCTTTGTCGAGGGCAGTGGTTAGAGTAGGAAGATGATACAATTGTAAGAAATTCATGTAAACGTTATAAACCAAGGCTCCGTGTTCAAAAGCCTCCATTCTTTCCCGAAATAATGGTTTACCATATTCCATGCAATGAAATATTTTACTCATGTGGAGCAATTTATTCAAGCGAAAATTTCCTTCCGTAGGCAAACTACTTCCTTCCTCGCCAAGAGATATTATTTTTAAAGTGAAGTATTTCTTATGGGGGTCAAGAGAAAGTAAATACTTGGCTACTTCCAAAGCCGAAGTTCGGGCTTCTTTTAAGACTTGCGAAGTATTATCATCCTCCCTTGTATTATTTTGATGGTTTAAAACGTTATTTTTCATATGTTAGATTTTTTAGTTAAGTTAAAGTATTTTCTCTTTCTCTAACTGTTCCTTAAATTCCTGATTTCAGTCTTCACCTTCATAGCCATTAAAGTTTTTAAACTCCATTTCCAACTCACCAATCTTTATTTTGTGCTTCCTTTCCAAAAGAAACCATTGGCGACCATCCCCTTCGAAATAAATTTGGCTGTTTTCTAATTTATGTACTATTATTTGGAATAATTCGCGATTACTAATTTCTTTAATTGGTGTGTTTGGTGTATTCATAATTTGTAATAGCCCTCTTTGAGCCAGGTTAATTTATGGTGTCCCGTGGAAGGTTCGAACCTCCCGCTTCTTGTTTAAAGGACAAGCACTCTACCGTATGAGTTAACAGGACTTGACCCAGAACCAAGTTTAGTTCTCTGATTAGGCAATAACTTTTCCTCATTTTCCGTCCGCTTTCTTTTCTACTTCCTCGGCGGAAGTAAATTGAAAACTAAATGGTTTTGTGAGTTCGGAAAGAGGAAAATAAGCCCGAAAATATTGGGGTGAGCGGTCGGGTTGAACTTGCTTGTAAAAAGCTTTCAACACTTGACCTGCCTTAACTAAGGTTAAAGTTATTCAGTGGTTCGGGTTAGTTTCTTCCAAAAAGAAGATGCAACTGCCAGAATGATTAACTTTCTTTCGAGTTATCTCAGAGTTATTAAATCAGAGTTTTTGGGAGTTTATTTGGTAGGTAAAATTAGGGTTTTTCATAGGTTTAAAATGGTGTTGTTTTTTCCGGTTTAGCCAGTTTCCCAACATGATAAATTGCTGCTACGAGCATTGAACTTTGATTCTTTCGGGAACACAATCGCAACAATCTAAGCAAAAGAGTTCTTGACAATCTTCGCATGCGTTTAAGTCAAGCGAGTTGC